AATTTTTGTATACCTTAGAACCAAGACCTTATAGACGTGCATACACAATAAATGATTTGATTTGATTTGTAAAATAGTTGTAAACGCGCGTTGTCATGTGAGAAGAGCCTTATAATATGGATATATAGGAAAAAGATTCAAAGGACAAGTGCGTGCCAAAACGTAACGTGCTTGTTTTGTATAGAATCAACAATTTTTATAAAAATTAAATATTTTGGAATTTCATGCTCAAACAAGAAAAACAGCAAAATTAATAGCAATTGCAAGCAATTTTAAGTACAACAAAGTAACTAACGGGGTTGTCTGTTACGGAATTATTTATTATATTCGCGACCGTTAGAGAACCAAAAATGTATATGGTCGCAACATTGGTAATTATCTGAAATTAAAATGATAAGATTAGATTTATATGTGGTTATATACTCTGGGCGAATATTATTGTATATTAGCTGATATTAGTAACTTTCGTAAGGACTTATTTCATTATGAATTCTGTAGAAAGCGATCGCTGTTCTTTATACAAACTGGAAGCAACCCCAGGCGCAGCACGGGTCCGCAGCCTTAAAAGAATTTTTGGTTAAAGTTTAAGTTCTTTATTGTCGCAAATAGTACTATGTTATAGAAAGATCGGTTTATAAGCCATTAAAGGTATTTTTTATTCATAAATTTAAGTACTTACCGAAACCTGAAATAATTCTGAGATTAACTGGAACGTGCGCAAAATGGGTTTGAAAGAGGTCATGACCAACGTTAATCCCTCAGAGTAGTGGTCGTCGTTAATTTTATACCGTTTATTCAGTACCCATAGAGCGCCCAATGTTTGAGATTTTGCGTAATTCATGACATTGTATCTTGTAACAGTGTTCAAGAACTGCAAGCGCACCCTTAAGTACCACACGGTTGATGCATACAAATATAGCTCAATATAAATGATCACAACGCAAATACTGTATGGAAAAACGAAAATGAGTGTTTCCTTAATACCAAATGTGAACCAAGTGACTGTTAGTGCATCAATGCTCTGAAAGATTAAAGTCAGCGGTACAACCGTTATAAGAGAAGCGTAAAGAAACTGGTTCATGGACTCGGTGTCGTATAATTTTAAAAGACGATCGACTTTTTGAAGCATTAAGTAGTCTGACACTTTTTTCTGATTAAAAAAACCTAGCGTTGCATATGTTAACAGTATAAGCCACGTATAACACTGATATTGATGCTATAGGGATGTAGAGCCCAGACGATACAGAAGAAAACCTTTTCATTAAAGATAAAATAAAATAAAAGTATGAGATTGTCACTAGAAATACAAATAAGATGGTACAAATTTTTTGTAGCTTGGTTGTGGGTGTAACGAAACAGTTTCTGATGTCAGTGCGGGTAGAACATAAGAATAACTGTGCTACGTGAATAGGCGCCAAGCACTTCGCCAAACTTGCGTCCAAAATGTCTGCAGAGAAAAACAGTTTTTCTGCGTGTTGCATTTTAGTTAAAATAAGTTAAGCAGCCTAAGTTTTTTTTTAAAGTCCCTGGTTACGACTTTTTGATAAGTATTTACAATAATTTGTGACCAGCCGTCATCATGGTGATGAATGCAAAACAATTCTAATTGGACAAATGTAATGGGAACAATATAAATTCTGAATGGTAATTTATGTTTAATTGCTGTAACTACGGATCGGTAATATAGTAATCATAGTTACTATGATTCATCATTCATCACTTTAATAATTATCACATTATTAGAAGTTGTTGTGCCTAAAACCTTCCTAAAACATAAATGCTCTGGCTACATAGAGGCGGGAGCGGGAGCGTTCACGTCACGGGAATTTTTGTAATGTTTGCGTCCTTATGAACCCTGCCACACAGAATGATAGTTTCATAAAAAACGAACTGTCACAAGTGAGGCAAAAATCAAATTCATGTAGGCGTAAGCAACTTGTATTTACGCTCGTCGGCACGCACACAAATATACAAATAATGATGCCATGGAATAACATTTCCCTCAAAAGTGGGGAAATTGTATCTTGCTTAACTCATCGTTAAGTTAGAGGTGCCTACAGATTTGCTCGATTTTGTCGATAGTTACTGTCGATCAGGTGCCTACAGATATGCTCGATTTTGTCGATCGTTACTGTTGATCGACAACGTCAAGTGACAGGAATTTCCAAAAATTTATTTTTGTAATCCTTATGGAAATGGCATTTATATCTGAATACACGAAGGCGGACACGACTTTTCTCATATCTAAATCCAAAATGGCGGACACGTCTTTTCAAATAAATGCAATATGGGAATCGTTTTCGAGGTATTCGAGGTGCTCATCACGAATATGCCATTTATTTCTAAATCCAAGATGGCGAACACGACTTTTGAAATAAATGCAATATGGGTATGATTTTCGAGGTATTTGGTGCTCATTACGAATATGGCACTCATTTTTAAATCCAAGATGGCGGGCACGATTTTCATATAATGGCAAGTTGGGGATCGTTTTCGAGGTATTTGGGGGTGCTCATTAGGAATATAGCACTTATTTCTAAATCCAAGATGGCGGACATGACTTTTCAAATATGTAATAGCAAGTTGGGTGTAGTTATCGAGGTATTTGGGGGTGCTCATTAAGAACATGGCACTAATTTCTAAATCCAAGATGGCGGGCACGATTTTTTGAATAATGGCAAGTTGGGTGTCGTTTTCAAGGTATTAGGGGCTGCTCATTCCGAATATAGCACATATTTCTAAATCCAAGAAGGCAAAGAATTAGAAGAAGAAGAATTAGAAGTCTTGTCCCCCATCTTGTATTCAGATATACATGCCATTTCCGATTTACCAAAAATACATTTTTGAAATTTGTTGTCAACCATCTTGGATTTAGAAATTAATGCTACATTCGTAATACATATACATACAAGCACTCTAAAACTCCTCGAAAACGTCTATAATTCTCAATTGTTACTGTCGATCGACAATGTCGAGCAAATCTGTAGGCACCTTATTAAATACTACCCAATTCTTATTTAACTCATATATGAACAAAAACCTACAAGCGAGTTTAAGTGCGACTATCGAATTTGAATATATAAATAGCCTGATATTATCTGTGGGTATGTTTACATGAAAAGTACACGATAACAATTAAGAACCTGAACCTGAAAGTTATTTATAAACGATTTTGGAGAACTGACGATGACTTTTTAGTCAGAGTTAGTTTCCTGAAATAATTTTAGTTAAGAACTTTTAAGTCTGGGCAAGACAATTTTTTTTAATGAGTGTATGATGAACAAGAATTATGATTTTTCACATGAAACTAATGAAGGCAAATACTAAATATATTTCGTAAAAATAGCTAACGTAAATTCCCTACAATGTTGTTGCGGCGGTGTACATTTGTAGAAATTTTGCAACTGTCGCGATATTGCCTATTCTCAAAAAATTACGTAATATAATTATTTTGAAACAGAATAGCAAAATGGGGAGAAAAAACCCGTCACTTTGCAACATTTTCGTATCTTGTTGCAACGAAATTAATTTTCTGTTTTAGTGAATATTTATATAAAAATACAAGTTGAAACGCGTTATTTCCTTGTGGAATGTGATGTTAGTGTCTATTTTATATTTGTCTGATCTATTTTTAAACCGAATTACCGCACAATTCGTCATTTTTAGCAAAAATTTTTGAGCTGCTCGCGGTGCAACTTGACTTTGAGCACTGACAGCCCGCTCGCTCGTGTAAGCTCATAGGGCGTCCTACAATTTGCCTCACTTGACGTGTGCGGGCTAGGTTTCTATGCGTTATTATTCTAAGCTGCCACATTGAAACCGGGTGCGGACGCAGGAGTTGTATTCCATTGAGTTATAAGCAACCGTCCATACAGAGCGGTAGCAGCGGGGCGCGGTCCGGGAACGGGGCTTTAGAGGGACTTTAGCGGGCTTGGATGTACTATTTGTTTGCAACTCTTGAGTATGTTTAGATTAAGTTAAAAGAACTGATTAAGTTCTAAGATTAAAAACGATCGATTTTTTATGTTTTCCTTTCCTATAAATATATACATATGTTATATACATAATGATAATTCATTCCCTATTTTTTACTGTTACAAGTGTTAAACACGACCGCACCAAGCCGATTCCGAACCTTTTATCGACAATGATAATTTTATCTTTTATATGTTACTATCGCACTGATAATATGTTATAATAATGGCATATACTGGTTCTCGATATTATTTGAGTGTAAATTCTTGATTTCGCAGGATGGTTGGTATTAAGATCTTTTTAATTAATTATTCATCCAAGTTTTTTTAGGTTAAGTAACGAAGTGAACGCTATCGTCAGCCGTGCGCTATAAGTACTTAAATGTCTCAGTAGACAATAAAATTTTATTTTGTTAATAAGTGTATTTCTCAGTGAAACACAATTTGGTTATACAAGTGGTACTTATTAAAATAGTGACATTGGGTGGTAATACTTTTAAAGAATTAGCAGTATGTACTATTATATATCGTACTTGGAACCAAATACTGTTGTAACTCAAAAATTGTGAAATTAAGAAAAGTACTGAATGAATTATTTCTTCTCCCATAGCGAATAATCGGATTATTTTTATTTATACATATATAATCAATATAATCAATTCAGTAATTTTTTGAACCTTTAAATAATGTTTTCTCTATTCCACGTTTTTTTAGGTAAGACAGTATTTAATTAATTTTTTTTTTGGACAACCATCAAGATAATGAATTAAATATAACAAAGTAGAAACAATACACAGAGACTGATACTAAATTTTGTCTCAACTAAAGGTCGACACGGCATTGCAAATGTGGACACGACAGAAAAAATATAATAAACAAATTGATCCAATGAAATTAAAAAAAAACTCAAAATAAACTCTAACTTAAACAACAACAATAGCTACTTTGCATTAATTTATTATTAAAAAGGTAACTATTAGAAACTAGAAAACTAATGACAAAGATAAAGAAATAGGGGAAACTACAATGAATGACGTAGCCGTGAGAATAGACTTGATTGTGCGCTTAAACACTAAGGACTATTGGAAAAAAAATCTACGAGGCAGTCACCCCGCTTATGCAGGTGGTTATATTGTTTTAATAGGCGATTCACGGTGGCCTGGTGACCCATGCTGCTTCTACTACCCTTGTCACGTGAGTCTCGCGTAATAATGATAGAAAGTACGCTCGGTCCACATTAATTTATTGTGGAAGTATAATAGTAGGGAAACGTGAAGGAAAAAAGAAAGGAAGGATAGGCTGTAACAAAAACAGGTAGGTATAAAAACAGGTATAACAAAAACAATGATATGAAAACACACTTCCTACAGACTACAATTTATTAGTTTATTATTATATGATTAGTGAACTTACCTCAAAAGGGTCTGTACTCGTATGAAATATATCGCTGCTTTAAAATTTACGTGATAAAAGGACACGGTCTTTCCCCTCCGAGAATTTTGATGAGAATGGGAGTGACGATGGAACGAAGCAAAGTAAGAATGGCGAAGAAAAAGAACTAGAGAACGATTCAAATTTTCAAAAGTAAGTGGCCAGGTACCAGAGAAAAGGGTGATAAAAAGGTGGGATGACGATGAAAGAGGTCGTATCGTCAGACCCTTAACTGAAAATAGAACGTACCTACTCAAACGAGGAAGCTCTATTCCGTAAACTCATTAAATTAATATAAAAAAGGCGTTTCTCATAAAAGTAGGGCAGCTCTTTAGCTTTGTGAGTCTGATAATAAAGGTGCCATTGCCACATGAATCTCCTCTGAATGCGATCAATATGTTTTATGTGTACTTCATATTGTGGGGTCCTCACCTGACTACGATATTCCAGACTCTCGTAACATCTCTTGCATTTCTCTGTACAAGTCCTAGCAACAGATATCCCTCGTGACAACTCTGTCTACGTGTTTATGAAAAGTAGTTTTGTATACAGGGTTATCGTAAGAAGCTCTTATCATCTCTTTTCAGGTTCTGTCTATAATAATTGGCCTCAGCTCAGCGGTAGTATTATCAACAGTAATAGCAAATTGTCTGTGGGGCAAAAAGAAAAACAAGAAGTTAGTGACGTTAATAGACCCCAACAAGAAGTACCCTCTACCGCTTACTGAACGCGAAGAGATCAGTCATGACACTAGAAGATTTAGGTTTGGTTTGCCATCGGATAAACATGTATTAGGTAAGTATTTAAGACTATTATTATGTAAAAGATTGAGAGTCACATTACTCGGAGAAGATGTATTGATTGTGTGAACAGTGATAGAGATAAAGGGAAGAAGAAGAATAAGACATACTGCACCAACCACAAGTAGTGAAACAAAAAGTATACTGAATAGAAACATTGAGTAATTTCATAGCAAGAAATTGGGAATGCTTATTAATAAGCATTCATATTACAAATAATAGTGGAGATCTGATTAAATGTTGGTACAAAGTCAAGGTGTTTTTCAATAACCTTTTGACTATGTTGTAAATATACGTATTTTAGATACCTTCCTGTCGGTATAGATATGTTAGTTAACATTTGATAAGGTAAATGAAACGATTGCATGTAAAACTTTCATGCCTCTTAATTATATCCATTTTAATTTTAATTAATTGAATACCTAATCATTTGAAAACATAAATTATTGTCATCAAACCGATAAATTATTTAATTTGATAACATTAAAAAAGTTAACACTGGTAAAAGAAAGAAAAGAAGAAAGTTATCAATAAACGACTGAATCTGTTTCAGGTTTGCCAATTGGCCAACATATACATTTATCAGCCAAAATTGATGATGACTTGGTCATTAGAGCTTATACACCTGTCTCTAGTGATGACGAGAAAGGTTATGTGGATTTGGTTGTCAAGGTGAATTGTCGTTTTTATCGTGTTCAGTATGTTATACCAGGCACTAAACAATTCGTATTAGCTGTTGTAAAAGTTTACAAATTAGCTTTTTTTATGATACTAAGTGACGGGACGAACAAGTCGTGCGCCTGGTGGTAAGCGTCACGTCTGTCGATAACAGTTGCAGTGCCGCTCAAAGGGCACTGCCACAGCGCCCGTCACCTTGAGACATAAGTTGAAAAGTTTCATTTGCCTGAAAATTCACCAGCACCTCTTACCCTACAAATTCAGAACGCAGTAATGTTCGCATTACTGCTTGCCGGCAGAAATAGATAAGGTGGCAGTACTACTTTTCATCATCAGCTTACATCCACATCCACTGGTGGATATAAGCCTCTCCGTGAGCACGCCAATTCTCTCGGTCTTGTGCCGCCCATCCCATACTACCCTGGACGAACTTTTTCACAAGGAGCTCTTCTGCTACGAAAGTAAAGTAGCCTTTACTTTAACCACAAGATTTCTTTGTGTTTGTGTAGAAGCTGGTGCAATTTTAGCAGATTATACGTAGGTCAGCGTTCACTTGAAATGCCGTGTTTCAAATATAAACCTAACGTTAACTTATAAGATTGACCAAAAACTCTTGAGAGCATTTTGACCTTAGTTATTAGTCATATATTAAGTTTACGTAATTTATGTAAATATTAAGTTGTGGTTATTTATTTGCAAAGTGATTATAGCCTAGATTTCAGTTTTCTTTGTAAGTTCTGGGAGCAAATAACTTTTGTTTTAATTTTACAATATAAATTATTTACTTGATTTACATTGCCTTCTGTTTCTAGGTGTACTTTAAAAATGTTCATCCCAAGTTCCCTGACGGAGGCAAGATGTCTCAGCATTTGAATAACATGAAACTTGGAGAGACCATTGATGTTAAAGGACCTTCGGGAAAATTGCAATATGCTGGAAAAGGTCTCTTCCTCATCAAAAAGACGAGAAGAGACCCTCCTGTGAAGGTTGTGGTAAACAAACTCAACATGATTGCTGGTAATTTTACGTACTCTTAATATAACTTGTATCGTGAAACTGTTTCATATTTGACGGTTTCACACTTACATTTAAAAAAAATACAATGGTGAAGCAGAAATTACTGAATGCCATTTCCTGACATACGTTTATCTTCGTTCATTCATATCAAACTTGACACAAAAACATTTGTCATTATATAGATTTTAATACCCGTGGTAATTTACTACACACAATTTTAATTACAGGATACATTTTATAATATGGAATAAGAAGTTGTATTCATTGTAAGAAACCTGTTAGAAAACAATTAGTGATGAT